CCCCCAAAAAACAAAAAAACAAAAGTTTCATAAAGTTCTTCATGTTTCTCATTTTCACTTAGCCTGCTTGAGTTCACAGAATCATCAATAAAGTCAAACACATCAGGAGGTTTGTGCTGTATACCAGCTTTCCCACAGGCTCCAGGGACCGCACCCGCCACTGCAGAGCCATGGCCCAGCTCTCTGCACAGACCCCCATCTGCATTGTTTTAAATGACAAAATTTGCTGCTTTCATGAAGTTGAATATATTCCACAGTTTCTTTATCCATTCATTTGTTAATGGATACTTAGATTGTTTTCATTTTGAAACTGTTACGAAGAGTGCTGCAATAAACATAGGCATACAGGTATCTGTTTGACACACTCATTTCATTTCATTTACATAAAGACAAAGTAGAGTTTTCAGTCATATAGGAATTACAGTTTTAGTTTCTTTTCAAGAACCTGACTATAGTATTCCAAAATGGCTGTACTAATTTTTATTCCTATCAACAGTATACAAGAGTTATCTTGCCCCATATTCTTACCAACATTTGTTAGCTTTTGTCCTTTTGATAATGACCATTCTAGTGGGTGTAAATTGATGTCATTATGATTTCCACTTCCTTATTAGCCATATTGATCATTTTCTTCATGTATCTGTTGTCCTATTGTGTATCTTCTTTTAAGAATTGTCTATTCAGGGGCCGGGGAGATGGCTCAGTAGAATAAGTGCTTCCCCGGCAAGCACAAGGGTCTGAGTTCAATCCCTGGTTCCGCCAAAAAAAAAAAAAAGAATTGTCTATTCAGGTCTCTTGCCCATTTTTTAGTTTGGTTTTCTGTTTTTCTTGCTGTTACATTCTCAAGATCCTTATGTATTTTGCATATTATTCCCTTATCAAATATATGAAATCCAATTTTTTTGTCCCAATTCATACATTGCCTCTTCACATTGTGAATTGTTTGCTTTGCTGTACAGAAGAAGTTTTTCAAATTGTAATCTCATTTTTCTAGAGGGTCAGGGGTTTTGTTGCTTGTACTTTTGGATTCAACTTTTAAAAAATTGCTCAGATCTGTGTCACATAGTTTTCCTGGTTTTTTTTCCTAGTGTTTTTACAGTTTCTGAATCTATCTTTGTATATGATATAAGAGTACAATTTTATTATTCTAACGTGAATATCTAGTTTTTTCAGTACTACTCATTAAAAATAATATGTCTTTTATATTGTGCATTCCAATTTCAGTATATGTGCTGCTGAAGCAAGTACTATATTGTACATTCCTAACACCTTTGTTAAAAGTGAATTGAAAGTCCATATATGGATTTATTTCTAGCCTGTTTTTCCTGTTTCGTTGTTTTGTTTTTGCTAGCAGCGTACTAGTTTATTTATGGTAGTTTATAGTATTGTTTAAAATCAGGTGTATGATACATCCAGATTTGTTCTTCATGCTAATCATTACCTTGGAAATTTGGAGCGTTTTTGTGGTTTTGAATCAATTTGAGAATTTTTTTCTATCTCCATAAGATACAGCATTAGAATTTTAAAAGGATTTCATTTTAATCTATGGATTTACTTTGGGTGGGTCTTACCTTCTTTCCTGTTGCTGGGACAGAATACCTGATACTCATAAATTAAAGCAGGAGAGGTTTATACTCTCCAAGTCAGAAACAACATAGTAGAGGAAAGCTGTCCAATTAAATTCCTGTCAGGCAGGAAAGAGAGAGCAAAAGGAAAAGCCAAGGAGAAAACAAAATCTTTTGGATCATTCCCCCAGTGACCCAAGCAAGTCCTACCTTCTAACTGCATATTTACCTGTGAACTTATTAGTGGATTAATGCACTTCAAAAAGCTCCTGAACACATGAGATTTGTGGGAGACACTCTAGATCTAAACCATAACATTCTGCCACTATCCTCCAAAAGTCTTATATATATCCTTATGCAAAGTATATTAGTCAGTATCCAAGAGTTCCAGAGTTTTAGCATAACTAGTATTGCCAAAAAGTCCAAGTCCAAAGTTTCCTCTGAGATTCAAGGCAAAGTTTTAGCCATGAACTGCTATAAAAATCAAAGTGAAAAAGAAACATTTCCAAAATATGTTGGCACAGGGTAAACTATACCATTCAAAAAAGGGTGAATAGGGAAATAGAAATAGGACCAAAGAAAGATCAAAACCTAGGAGGGCAAACATTAAATGTTTCAGCTGCATGTCCAGCACCTGGGACATATTTTGTGAGATGTAAACTCCAAAAGGCTTAGGTGTTCCCACGCATATGGCTTTGCTGGTTGTAGCCCCTATGGCTACTTTCTTGTGGTGGCTCTACTTACTAATTGCAGCTTTCCTCAAGTGACGTTCCATGTTTGTGGCATTTCCAACTTCCTGAGGTCTCTGCTGCACTTTCATCTTCTCTTACAGCTTTATGCACTGCCCTGTTGGGTGCAGGTTTTCCAGGTCTCCTGAAATTTAAGTGGAAGCCTCTGTGATCCCATAACTCTAGCATTGTCTATGTGTGTAAAACTAGCACTGCGTGGATAAGATCTGTCACCAGTTCAAGTAGTAGCTGGTGCCCTTGGATGGACAGTGATGCAGAGTGATCTGAGTACTGGATGCCTGAGCAATGGGAAACAAATCCCAAGGAACCAGTCCTCTATGCGGCCTTTCTTGAGCAAAGGATCAAGGGCCAGTCTTCTGAAATGAAAGTTGTATAATTTTCTACTCTTGAGCCTGTGAAAGGATGGGTCTCACTGATTTCCAGCATACTTTCAAGTTGTCTTTCCTGTTATCCTAATAGGTGGTTGTTCAATTCTTTTGAATCCTTACTTTTTCAGCAGGTATGCTCTCCATGGACCCAGTTTTATAATTGCCTCTTTTCTGATGAAACTGCAAGTTGTTCACCTATACTTTTTGCTGCTAATTTTCACTGTATGTCTAGCTAAACTCATCCAGTAGTATCGATGTCATAGCCTGAATATTGAGCTAGTTTGAAATTTCCTCCAACAGATTAATTAGTCCAGTATCCTAATCTCAGGCTCTCACAAAGTCTTAGGATATGGCTAGAAAGAAGGCAAATTTTCTGCCAAGATGTAGTACATATGGTTCTTGTCCTAGCACCAGTAGAACCCTTGAAACCTCCAGAGTATCACCTTTACTGTCTGCATTCTGTCAACATTGTGGTCTTCTAAGCTCAGACCAGAATATCCCATCAATCTTTGCTTACTCTGCTTACATTTGATGGCTTCTCTAACCAGCATCTGCCAAACTGCTAAACGGTTCCTGTAAACAGGCTCCAAAGGCTTCTTTATCACATACTCAGGGATAGTCACAGTAGTCATCTTACTTCTCTGGTAGCAAGAATCTGTCTTAGCTGCTGTTCTGAGACAAAATATCTGACTCCCAAAACTTAGAGAAGGAAGGGTTTATTTTAGTTCATGGTTTCAGTGCATGGTTGATTGACCTCAAGGCAGGAACTAAAGTTGGAAGGCATGGCAAAGGAAAGCTGTTCAACCTGTAACATCCAGAAAGCAGGGAACAAAGGGAGCAACCAGGGAGGAAGATACACTGTCCAGTGACCTGCTTCTTCCCACCAGGCTCAAATATCTAATAGCACATTCAGCTACAAATTCTCCTTAGAATGAATATAATTCATCAGTGAATTAATCCACTGATGATTACAGTGTCCCCATGATCTAAGCACTTTCTAAAAGTACCACTTATGAACAAGTAAAAGTATGGGAGTGCATGAAATATCTTTTCATCAATTTATATTTTCTATTTTACCAGTATTTTAGGGGCTGGAAAGATGGCTCAGTAAAATAAACACTTGCCTTGCAAGCACAAGGGCCTGAGTTCAACCCCCAGTTCTGCCAAATATATATAATTTTTTTTCTCTTCGTAACTTTTATTTTAAATTCATAAAACCAGCAAATGAATGCATACTGACTAAAAAAATTCAATAAAGGCAATGGAGTGAGCACCTTTAATGCCAGAACTCTGAAAAGCTAAGTCAGGAGGATTGAATTGAAGCTCAACCTTGGCAACTTCATAAGACCCTTTCTCAAAATTAAAAAACAAGAACAGCAAAACAAGGGCTGGGGAGATTCCTCAGCAGTCTAAGTGCCTGCCTGGCAGCTCAAGGACTTATGTTCGATCCCCACTCTGTATGCTGTACTGGTGCCAAAACTGAGTGGTAATGCTCGCCTATAATCCCAGCAGTGGGCAGGCTGAGACAGGAAGATCACTACAAGTACGAATTGTGTAGTGAGACCCTGTGTTAAAAAAACAAAAAACAAACAAACAAAAAAAAAACACCAAAAACCAAATCAAAATTAGGAATGTAATTTAGTGCAAAGCCCCTGGGTTCAATCTGAAATATTGCAAAGTAAATAAGTAAATAACATGCATACATATATAAATCTGTCTGTTACTTTCTTGTCACTGTGCCAAAATATCCAATATCCACAAGTTAAAGGAGGAAACATTTTTTGGCTCATAGTTTGTAGATGTTTCAGTCCACAGGCAGCTGGCTCCAAGGCAGGGAAGTATGACAAAGGAGCATAGCAGAGGAGAAACAGTCCTCAGCAGGCAGGCAGACAGTGAGGCAGTGAAGCAGCAGCAGCAAGCCTGCCTTTCCCTTTGTATCCCATCTGGGCTAAACAATACTGGTTGATGCCATCAATATCCAAAGATGGGCCTTTCCATTATTCACACTCAGAACTATCCTAAGCTTACAGTGAGTTAATTTAGTTATCATTAGTCATGCACCCTAGATTAAACCACCTCTGAAAATCCCCACCAATGAATGCGTGAGGTTTTGGGGGAACATCTAGATACAAGCCATAATAACATACATCATATAACAATGAAAATTCATTAACCCAATCCAGTATCACAGGGGTTAATAAAATTAATAGCATTCATGTACGTTTTTTAAAAAAGATACTTTATTAGTGCCTATGTTGTAAAACATTGGGATGCTAATACAGTATTTTCATACATGAATATAACATTATTAAATCCATTCTTTCATTACCCTCCCTTACACCCACCTCACCTTTCTCTTCCTTTTGTCTAATAATAGTCTCACTTCTATTTTCATGTACTTTTTAAGATTCTACATATTAAGGAACATTTATTTATTTATTTATATTTATTTTTTATGGTACCAGGGATTGAACTCAGGACCCTGCACTTGCCAGGCAAGTGCTTATTCTACTAAGCTATCTCCCCGACCCCAAGGAACTTTTAATTTCTTTTTCAGATAGTTTGTTGTTAGTGTATACAAATTATTGATTTTTATATGGTGATTTGCTGTCCTGCAATTTTATGTACTTGTTCATTTTGGGAGAATCATTAGTGTTTTTTATTGTAAGATCTTTTAATCAAGCTACATTATTTTAACTCTTCTTTTTCAGTGTGGATATTTTTTATTTCTATTTCTTGCCTAGGTGCTCTGATAAGGACTTCCAATAATAAGTTGACTAGAAGTGACAAGTGTCTTTTTCCAGCTCTTAGAGGGAAGTTCTTTAACTTTTCACTATTGAGTTTTATATTAGCTATGGTCTTTTCATATAGCTGCTTTATTGTGCTGAGCTGCATTCTTTGTATACCTGGTGAGTTTTATTATGAAATGACTTTTATTTTTTTGTCAAATAGTTTTTCTTCATAAAATGAAATTATCATATTTTCCCCAGAACTTGACAACAAAACTTCTCCCTTCTTTCTTTCTCCTATATTTTACATCCAAAGATACTCCCTGAGTTATCTCATCACACTTTATCAACTATTTGGTGATGACTCCAAAGTTTAAACCTGTAATGTAGCGATAGCTCCTTAGAACTACACATTGGTGTGTTTGCATATAAATATATTTGTATTTAAAATCTTTACTTTTATATCTTAAAGTACAAAAGTAAACTCGATACTCTTTTCTAAACCTATTCCTACCACAGTAAAAGGTCCTTAGTAAATAATATTGTTGTTGTTCCAGAAATTCAAGAAAAATATATGTCCTTGTTTTTTCTATATTATATAACCACTGTATCATCAGCTGTTTAGTATATGTTTAAAATATATCCAGAATCCAGTGCTTCTCCCAACCTCCACAGTCCATCTCATGTGGATTATTGTAGCTTCTGTAATTCTATAATTTTATATACTTAGGCAAAGCAACCAAAAAAATTCATCTTTAAACAAGATTTTTTAAAAAAATGTATTTGGTGCAGGGTCTCATTATGCAGGTCAGAGCTGTAGTGATCCTCCTGTTTTCCTTCCAGCGTTGGGATTATAGGTATGTGCCACTATGCCCACTCTCAGGTGGCTGGCTTAGTGCGCTCCAGGTCGGGGCCAGTGTGGCCTGTGGTGCCGGGAATTGAACCTGGTCCCTGTGCTTGCCTAAGTAGGCACTTAGTCTGCTGAGCTATGTCACTGGCCCACAAACAGGATCTTGCAGTATCTTTTCTTGTAGTCATCCAAAAGCTCCCCATCTCAAAGTGAAATATTTAAAATAAATAAGATTGAACCATTCCTTATTAATATCATTTGTGGTCAGAAGATTTCCCTCTTTTTGTTAAAGACCTCCTCAAAAGTCCTTGTTACAGACCTCCTCAGAGTCCATGTGACTTCCTCAAGAAGAATTAGCTAGAGACACTTAAATGTAAGAGTAAAAGCCTTATTCCTGTGCTTAAAGAAGAGGCTACCTGAAAGAATTAGCAAGTTCCTGCAGCCTCCCTGAATGCAGGTGTTACCTCTTTTCTATCCTTCATTCAGCTAGAGAACACAACCCATTTCATGATCACATGTAGAAGAGTGGCTAGGGCAATACCTGTAGAATAGCTTGTAGTGCTACTTCATAGATCACATATGTCAATAGCAGTTTAGGTGGGTCTTCACCTAGGGTTATTCACTTTACTATAATAATGAGACAGAAGCTTGGCAGAGGTTTCTTTTTGTGCCTGTGCTCTAGCATAGGAGAGTCCCAAGCCCTCTTTTTGATGGCTTAGATGTGAAAGCTTTGAAATGTTAATCATGTGTCAGAAAACTGTTGACTGCCACAAACATAGTCTTAACAGTTTGTGTCTGGTTAGCTATACCTTTCAAACTATTCACATTATAGTGTAATGCATCTCCTTCAGAAGTATAGGCCTTGTATAGTCCCCCTCTTGTAAAGTTTATTTCTACTCCCAGCTATTAGTGAGTCCAAGTTCTTGTCTCTCGATTTTTTTCATGCCATCAATAAATGCAGAAAGTTGAAATCAGCAAATTTCATGAAGTAGCTATTACCAGAGCATGTTTTTCTCTCTGGTTTCTGGTTCTCACTTCCTTCCAGTTCCTCTGGATATTCATTTCTTAGGACCTCACACTTGCCAGGCAGGTGCTGTGCCACTGAGCTAGAACCCTGGCTCCATGGTATTGTTTTTATAAAACATTTATATTCAGTGAAAGATACGTATTTTTATGCTTCATAGTAAACAATATTTAAAAAATATTGATACATACCCATTGGTTTTTATGGGCATTTTTTTCTTATTATTTGTGTTTTCTTCTATAGAAGTTCTGGTTCTCTTGATTTATTTGATGTTGTCCTGTCTTTCAGACTTGCCTTCAGGGTGTGCAAATAAAAACATATCTCAAAAAACAGACCCTAATGAAACAGAATTATCTCAGTGGGAAATGAATTGTAGGCTTGAAAACTGTGAACTGAATAAGACCAATTCCAGAGATTATTTGGAAATCAAAGGCAAGTTGGAGAATCAACAAGAAAATCAGAAAGAATATTTTGGTCAAGGTGTGATCACATATGACAGAATGTCTGTTTTCAACCAGCATACTTACATAACTCCACATCCAAGATGTCATTCTTTGGAGAAACCATATAAGTGTAAAGAATGTGGGAAAGCATTCCGTCGGGCCTCACACCTAACTCAACATCAGAGTATTCATACTGGTGAAAAACCCTATGAATGTAAGCAGTGTGGGAAGGCCTTTAGTCGAGATTCTCAGCTCAGTCTTCACCAGAGACTTCATACTGGTGAGAAACCATATGCATGCAAAGAGTGTGGGAAGGCCTTTACTCAAAGTTCACAACTTATTTTACATCATAGAATTCATACTGGTGAGAAACCATATAAATGTGAAGAATGTGGAAAAGCCTTTATTCGTAGCTCACAACTCACCCGTCATCAAAAAGTCCATACTGGTGAGAAACCTTATGAATGTAAAGAATGTGGAAAGGCCTTTACTCAGAACTCGCAACTTACTCTGCACCAGAGACTTCATACTGGTGAGAAATTGTATGAATGTAAAGAATGTAGAAAGGTTTTTACTCAGCTCTCACAGCTTATTCTGCATAGAAGAATTCATACTGGTGAGAAACCTTATGAATGTAAGGAATGTGGGAAGGCTTTTATTTGTGGTTCACAGCTTTCTCAACATCAGAAAATTCATAATGGGGAAAAACCATATGAATGTAAAGAATGTGGAAAGGCCTTTATTCGGGGCTCACTTCTAATGCAACATCAAAGGATTCATACTGGTGAGAAACCCTACAAGTGTGAAGAATGTGGGAAGGCCTTTATCCGTGGTTCACAACTTACTCAACACCAGAGAATTCACACTAATGAGAAGCCCTATGAATGTAAGGAATGTGGAAAAACCTTTAGTCATGGCTCACAACTTACTCAGCATCAAAGAATTCATACTGGTGAAAAGCCCTATCAATGTAAGGAATGTGGAAAGGCCTTTAATCGTGGCTCACTCCTTACACGACATCAGAGAATTCACACTGGTGAGAAACCATATGAATGTAAAGAATGTGGAAAAAACTTTAGTCGTGGCTCAGAACTTACTCAGCATGAGAGAATTCACACTGGTGAGAAACCCTATGAATGTAAGGAATGTGGAAAGTCTTTTATTCGAGGCTCACAGCTTACTCAGCATCAAAGAATCCATACTGGTGAAAAACCTTATGAATGTAAAGAGTGCAGAATGGCCTTTACTCAGAGTTCACATCTTTCTCAACATCAGAGACTTCATACTGGTGAGAAGCCCTATGTGTGTAATGAATGTGGGAAGGCCTTTGCTCGTGGTTTATTGCTTATTCAACACCAGAGAATTCACACAGGTGAAAAACCATATCAATGTAAGGAATGTGGGAAAGCCTTTATTCGTGGTTCACAGCTTACTCAACATCAGCGAATTCACACTGGAGAGAAACCTTATGAATGCAAGGAATGTGGAAAGGCTTTTAGTCATGGCTCTCAACTTACACTACACCAGAGAATCCATACTGGAGAAAAGCCCTATGAATGCAAAGAATGTAGAAAGGCCTTTACTCAGAGCTCACATCTTTCTCGACATCAGAGAGTTCACACTGGTGAAAAACCATATCAGTGTAAGGAATGTGGAAAGTCTTTCACTCGTGGTTCACAACTTACTCAACATCAGAGAACACATATCACTGATAAATCTTTTGACTATAAAGAATGTGGACTGGGCTTTAGTAATGATTCCCAAGTTTTTCTATGAATTAACCTGATGTTTTGTGATTGACATATCTTTTTGTTGTCATCTATTATCTGTAAAGAATTCTACAAGTGGGAATATGGGACACATTTGTGTGATACAACTCAGCATCAAGAGACTTTAAATAGGGAATGGAGTTATTAATCAATGTAGAAAAACCTTTTATTGCTGTAATCCTAATAAACTTTAGCCAATTAAAATAGAAAAAGAATTTTGTTACTACACTAAATGCAAGAAGGCCTTTAGCCATAGCAAATGTCTTTATCAACATCTTGGATCTTCCAGTTGATTTCCTTTGTGACATTTATTATGGTAAGTAAGCTTTGATTTGGTTCAATCATTTGTAATATAAACCTAGGAATAATACCTTTTGGGTAAAGTTCTTAGAAGCATTACATGTTACTTTAACATTTTAAAGCTCTTAGAACAGTGCCTTAAACATACCAAAATACTAGGTTCTAGCCAGATGTGATGGAACATACCTGTAATCTCAACATTTGGGATGCTGAGGCAGGAGGCTTGCCATGAGTTCAAGGCCATCTTGGGCTATGTAGTGAGTTCAAGGCAAGCCTGTATTACATAGTGAGATCCTGTCTCAAAAAGCAACAACAAAAAATTAGGTATTATTTTCATTGTTATTTTAGAGGATATGCATGAGAGGAAAGCACTTATGAGTGTAATTAATATCCAGAAATCTTTTATAACCTATCCCAGATTGTAGGAGCACTGTGATTTCATTCAATATGCTGGAAGAGGAGATAGTGTAAAAAGCCCTGTGGTATTTAATCAGTAGATTATTGAGTACAAGTGTTACAGAATTTAAGATGTTAAGTAGTTTGTCATAGAGACCAGTAACTTGTATTTCCTATTATTTCTGAGTACTATTCAAGATTATTACTTAGAAGTAAAAGCATAGCCAAAATAAACCTAGTAGGAAATTTTAAAAAATTTGACATTTTGAATTAAAATGAAAACTGACATTAACAGACTCTTTTAGTGAAAAATGATGAATTCATGTCAGAAAATCTGTCCCTGTCTTAAACCCATTTTCCCATCTTTAATACCATCTTGAGGTTAAAAAAAAAAAAAAGTCTGTCTCCTTTACAGGTCAATAAGATGGGGAAGTGGAATCTAAAAATTCTTTCTGTTTTCCTCATTTCCCTACCTGCAATATATACCTCTGACCTGGAGTTCTGCAGTCTCATAGAGACTGTCAGAATGTTTTCTGAGTGTTATGGATAGTAGAACAGGAATACAGAAGGAGTCTGCAACCCTAGTGATTTTGTTGAACATTCATACAAACTCTGGTCTGCCTGCCTTCTGTATTTCCACATATAAAATTAAAGTCAATTTGTTATTGATGCTGTTGTAGTTCCCTTATTAGTAATAAAACTATATATATATATATATATATCCATCCATCCCCCGGAACCAGGGATTGAACTCAGGCCCTTGTGCTTGCCAGGGAAGCGCTTATTCCACTGAGCCATCTCGCTGGCCCCTTAAATATATTTTCAAATGCTGTAACTGCAAATCAAGTGCTGTTAGTAAATAAGGAATCTCAAAAGGTGCATTAACTTAGGATAATGGCGGCCCAAAGTGCACTAGCACTCAGGAGGCTGAGATAGGAGGATCACAACAAGTTCAAACCCAGCCTGAATTACACAGTGAGAACCTATCTCAAAACAAAACAAACCCTTCAGATCATGTAGAATGAGTTTTGACCCAATTCAGGCTATGAAACTGAATTTCTTCCTTTTATAGGCAGGATATTTGGTCAGACTGCCAAATAATATCCTGTAGTGCAAACCCAGTACCAGTCTAGGCTATAATGTTAAAGAAAGTAGTAAGAGTGGTTCAGAATGTATGTGCTCAGCATTTTGTGCTACTTTCATTAATGAGCTGTGAAAGAAATAAATTTGGAGATAGCAAGTTGAAAGTGATACTGCTTTAATAGATTCTATCTCTGATGTAAGCACTCAATCCACTATTCTTAACTAAAACCAGTTATACTGATTTAGAGGGATAGCTTGGACAAGAAATGGGGTCATTGCATATCCTTAAAGAGGCAGTGAATTTTCTAACAAACACAGTACCCCACCGAAACCTCTTGTTCTAAAATTAATCACATTTATTGGGTTTTTACCATGTTCCAGTCATTGTCCTTGGTATTCTGATATTTCCATTATAATTCTAGCAGGAGGAAGTAAAGTAAATGTACAGTATCAATTGCTATGGTATCAAAAAGTCATTTGGAAAGAGGTAGGAGCTGGATATGGTGACATGTTCCTGTGATCCCAGTGACTGTGGAGACTGAGACAGAAGGATTTTAAGTTTGAGGCTAGCATGGGCAACTTAGTGAGACAGTGGCTCAAAATTTTTAAAAGGACTTGGGTGTAGCTCAGTGTTAGAGCATTTGCTTAGCCTGCATGAGGCCCTAGGTTCTACTCTCAGCACTGAAATAAGAGGGGAGACCGTTTAACTTGCTTTATGAAAGAGTGATTCAAGGTAGATCATTAAGAAGGACCAAAGCTGAGATTGGAAGGAATAAGTCATGATCATGTAGGAAAAGAGCATTTCCAGACTTCAGGAAAATGGCAGTGTGGTAAGCAACAACAACTGAGTCGCTCTTAAGATTCACAATCCAGACTCTGGAAAATAACAATTTCGGGAGGAAAAGAGCAGTTGAGGCAGGAAAAAAAAAATCCTTAAAGCAAAGGCTAGCAAGGAAGTTACTATAGAGTTCTATGCAAAGGGTGATTGATAGAACAACAGAGAGATAAGAGCCATTTCTTGCTATACCTTGTAAGCATTTTGAGTTTTGTTCCAAGAGAAATGGGCAGCCATTGGAGAGTTGTGAGCATAAAATATGCCTTAACATGTAAAAATAAAAAGGGTAGGATGCTGAGGCAGATGAAAGATAACAATGGCTCAGACTAAGGTGACAATGGGTCTATTGAGAAATACTTGTATTCTACATATTCAGTAAATGTGACAACCAAATTAGGGGTAAAACAGGACAACTTGGCCACAAGTCTCATAACACCAATCAAGGATACAAGCAGCAGTGAATGGTAGGAAGGGGCTTTAAATAGCTTGGTCCATGCTGAAAAGTACAGAGCAGGTAAAAAGGGAGTAAGGTTAGGTTTGGCATAGATAGGAGACAGGAGTGGGATCATAGTGGGCAGTGTAGGTAATCTGGTCAAATCATATTCTGGTTAGAGAATTGGTTCTTTTAGAGCTAGTATTGTTTGAGAGGATAGTGCAGTTCTCATGAGATGACAGTTCCTGCATTGTAGTGAGGCAGCCTCATTTCCTGTCATGGGGTCTTGCTTGAGAGTTAACCTCTTCATGGGGTTGTCTATAAGACTGCTTTTCCTGGGATCTGAGTTGGCTGCAGGTTTAAGACAGTGACTTGAGATTTGGAGATACCACTCCAATGGTCTGGAACTGGTTGCCATAAATGCCAGTAAATGGAAGTCTTTGAAACTCCTGATAACCATGTTACTCTTATCTTAATGTTCTCATTGTCAGAGGGAGATGAGGTAGACTTTACCAGTGATGGTAAAACTATGGCATGTGTACTGCAGGGGCTCTTTGTTATTGTTGAGAGCTTTACAAGGTTTGCCTTCTGGGATAGACCTATTTAGGGCTGCTAAGCCTTATAATATACTTTCTGAGTAATTAAACTATATGCAGAGTGGAGCAGGTACTTATCATGACACTTTGAGGTAATAAGACATAAAATGAAGGCATAAATTATCCTTTTAGTTATCCCTGTGGTATCTGTCTCAAAGTTTTCTGAAGGGCTTGGCTGTAGCTCAGTATTAAGAGCATTTGCCTAACATGCATGAGGCCCTAGGTTCTACCCCCACTAATCAAATAGGGCAGGGGGACAGTTTAAGTTGCTATATGAAATATAGTGATTGAAGATCATTAAGAATCAAAGCTGATCCTGTAATTCCCTGTTATAGATGTTAGGAGTGAGAAAGTCCTTAGTGAATTTAACTCAAAGATTTTGGTACTAAACAAATGTTCTATCAAATAAGATGCTGGCTGTTCCATTAAATTTGTAAAGGAAAGTGAGTTTCATTTTAGACATGTTAGGGGCCAGGGAGATGGCTCAGTGGAATAAGTGCTTCACTGGCAAGCACAAGGGCCTGATTTCAATCCCTGGTTCCACCAAAATAAAATTAAAAAATAGACATGTTAAATTTAAGATATATCTTAGACATAGAATGTAAATATTGACTAGGCACCTGGACATAGTAATGTGTATTATTCTAGAGTTTATGTTAATATGGTAGACATTGGCCTATCTGTGTTTAAAGTTCTGAGGCAAGGTGAGATCATTATAGCTCAAGTGTAAAAATCCATAAGGACTGAGCTATACTGTATCCCAACACTAGAGTTAAAAAAAAGACAAGCCACCAAGGAAGCTAAAATGGAAAAAAAGATGGGAGGAAACTCAAAAGGGTGAGGAATCACAGCCCAATTAAAGTGACTTGGATTATCAGTGATAACTGTTGACAGGCTAAATAATGTGAAGCTTGCAAAATATCTGTTAGATTTAGCAATGTCATTATTGGTGACCTTAAGAAAAGAGATTTAGTAGAGATTTCGTACTTGTATCACAATGGTCAGTGTAAAAGCCTGATAAGAGAAAAAATTGAATATAATGCTTGTAAATGGAATATGTATATGTAAAGATATATATATTATACAACTTAATTACATATAAAATATAAATATAGCTTAGAGGACAGGACAGCTATAAGGCACAAAGGAGATCCACATTCAGAGTGTCTTTAAGAAGTACTGTATGCCTATTTCAAGGCTGATAGTGACACTGAAGCATGCTTCCATGAGCCCTAAAGATTTTACAGAATCTGAGATAACTGAATATTATATCTGAGACCATAAGAAGACCCATGCTGGAAGCCAAGTTAAGTTCTTCAGATATTGCTGAGAAGATTAAAGTAGCCTTTCAATGTATTTAAGAAATGATGAAAGACCTAGTAAAGGGTGGAGGTTCTGCAGGAAAACTTCCAATTGCAAATTTTTTATTTTGTCATAGAAGCCACCATTTTAATTCATGGTACTGTCCCCAATTTAATCATCACTGAATGATAGGTTTTGTTACCTTGAAAAGAAAAAATGGTGATACAAACATCTTTGACTTCTTTTCTAGAGGTTTAAACTGAGATCATAGGGTAGGTTTTTGTTGTGTATGGTGCTGTCTCACAGAG